GGTATGATTGCCAATGAAACAACTCTCCACAAGAGACCAAATGGCACAAAAATTAGCAACTGTAGGTCACCGTACGGCCTTCAACAATGAGCAAAATCGATACCGCATAGTCAGCTATAAAAGGCCCAGAAATTACAAAAATAAAACTATTCAAAACTAACGGCATAATTTATGTACAAAATAATGAACGCAAAACAAATATGATACACAGAAGAAACAAACGACAACCAATGGATTACAGGCTCCTGACTTGGGACAGGCACATACAGAATGTGGCGGGGTTAAACATGTTAGCGGGCGCCCAACCCTCCCCCTAACCTGGGACAGTGGTGTAACAGTACAACATAAGAACAAATTATAGGCCATTTCTTATCCAAAATGTTAATATTTTTTTTTATTTGTTGAACACAGTATTCTGGCGGGTTTTTCTTGGTTAATTTGTCAATGAATGTGGTAGAAATAAATCATGACTAAAGTTCAAGTTTTCTACATGTGTTTGTAGCTCAGTTTCGAGTTGGGACACCTTCAGCTCATGCATATTCTTTGCACACTGTTTTAAACATTAGATGATCATATTTTATTTCAAATCATTATTGAAAGTCAAAACTTTATTTTTTATTAAGCGAAATTTATTAGTGTCTCTAATCATGTATAGTAATAACATTAACGATACCAAGTTTACTGCACAGGATGCACATTTCGACAAAAATTGTCTGTTCAGTGATGCTCGAGGCCAAGATCTGTACATAAATCTTCGGGTGACTATGAGAAAGAAAAAAAACATTTGTCTTTGATACTTTGAATGAAGATCCCCCCAAAGTACATTTTGTCGTGTTAAAGAAACTTGTTCACGGCATCAACCATGCTACTTTCCATCTTGACGAGCTTGTTCACGGCATCAACCATGCTACTCTCCATCTTGACGAGCTTGTTCACGGAATCAACCATGCTACTCTCCATCTTGACGAGCTTGTTCACGGCATCAACCATGCTACTCTCCATCTTGACGAGCTCACATTTGACATCTTGACGAGCTCACATTTGAAATCATCAATGGATGGAACTCCTAAAGTGTCCGTAGAATGTATTGGACGAGGAATTCTTGATGGGGTCATATTGCTGGTTTGGTCGTGTCCAGATTATTGAACATTTAATTTAATTATAGCTGGACTGGCCGGACATACTTTAGGTTCAGTTACTTCTACATGTTCACCTATTTCAGTATGGTTTTATGGCATACTTTAGGTTCAGTTACTTCTACATGTTCACCTATTTCAGTATGGTTTTATGGCATACTTTAGGTTCAGTTACTTCTATGTTCACCTATTTCAGTATGGTTTTATGGCATACTTTAGGTTCAGTTACTTCTACATGTTCACCTATTTCAGTATGGTTTTATGGCATACTTTAGGTTCAGTTACTTCTACATGTTCACCTATTTCAGTATGGTTTTATGGCATACTTTAGGTTCAGTTACTTCTACATGTTCACCTATTTCAGTATGGTTTTATGGCATACTTTAGGTTCAGTTACTTCTATGTTCACCTATTTCAGTATGGTTTTATGGCATACTTTAGGTTCAGTTACTTCTACATGTTCACTTATTTCAGTATGGTTTTATGGCATACTTTAGGTTCAGTTACTTCTACATGTTCACCTATTTCAGTATGGTTTTATGGCATACTTTAGGTTCAGTTACTTCTATGTTCACCTATTTCAGTATGGTTTTATGGCATACTTTAGGTTCAGTTACTTCTACATGTTCAACTATTTCAGTATGGTTTTATGGCATACTTTAGGTTCAGTTACTTCTATGTTCACCTATTTCAGTATGGTTTTATGGCATACTTTAGGTTCAGTTACTTCTACATGTTCACCTATTTCAGTATGGTTTTATGGCATACTTTAGGTTCAGTTACTTCTACATGTTCACCTATTTCAGTATGGTTTTATGGCATACTTTAGGTTCAGTTACTTCTACATGTTCACCTATTTCAGTATGGTTTTATGACATACTTTAGGTTCAGTTAATTCTACATGTTCACCTATTTCAGTATGGTTTTATGGCATACTTTAGGTTCAGTTACTTCTACATGTTCACCTATTTCAGTATGGTTTTCATCCTTTATTTCTATTTTGTTAACCAGGTGATTCGCTTGAACTTATATTGTACTTGTCTTTCTGAAAATAATATAAGTTTATAAATGAGAGGTTTCAATTGATCAGCTTGGGACCTCTACTGAAGTTGACTTGTTTTGTATCATGGTTCAAATTTGTGTGACACTTGACGAACTGTCACCTAAATTGTCAAATATGTAGACTTGACAGGCACGAGCCCAGAAAGGAAATCTTTCCCTCCGGTTCTGAAATTCGATGCTATTATATTGGTTTATTTTCAATGAATGTGTCATTAAGAATTCATCTCGATTCCACAAAGTTAAACTTTCCCTGTGGCACTAGTTTTTCGTTAGGTTTTACGGGAACATATATTTTAATAATATTCGTAAAGAATATTAATGAATGCGTGATTCTTAGTAATTACAAAATATTACTGTTATATCTGTACCTTGAACACTGTTTAGAGATAGTTATCTGCAATGATTTCCGCTTAGAAAAAATTTAGCGCCCATTTCAAGGATTTGTCTCGGTGTGTGCTGTTTGCACGACAGAAACCTTTGTCATGTTTTTTAATCCCTAGCTGTAGGCAGCTCTTTTAGTACAGTGTTACGGGAGAACGAAATTAGTGTTTGTCATTTAGGTATATTCGACTTCACAAATTTACTCTTAACGTGTGTTTTAGGAAATGCCCCTTGTTTTTCATAATCTGCTTTTTCAAGCGTTCTTTCTTTTTCGGAGATACTCAATTCCAAATTACGAATACGATGTTCCAACATATCTATTTCATCGTCTGGTGTGGTCTCATTGTCAAATATATCGGATGTCGGATCCGACACATCGAGTATGTCCTCATGCGACATATGACCTAAACCAAATTCACTTATCAATTTTTTATTTTTTCTTGCTCTATTTCGGGTAAAAGGCATGGCATGCCTCCTGTGTAAGACAAAAAATGACTTGATAACAAATTAAAAAAATATCCAACAGAATAAGAACTTACGAAAAATAAGGTATACAAAAGTTTCAAAATTCAAAAGACTCAAAATATAATTGCCATGCCTCACAGGATGAACTTCTACCAGAAAACACCACATTAGTTTTCGGCAATCAACGATAGAATGAAAAACTTTTATTTCTTTAAATCACAAGTCGATAAAGGAACCAATCAAAATTCGTTGTTCAAATATAAAATTCGTAACAAGTTGTCTCATTAGCTAAATGTAAAGAATCGAAATAATTGGAACAGTATAAAGTCTATTTTTTAAATCTCCAGTCGCCAATTATATATTTTTGATAAATTAAAAATAGCACAAAAATGCAATACGTGATCCTGATTGGCTGTTTGATTTTAAAGATAAGAGATTAAGATGCGTGTTTTAACCTCATGATTTTTAATGTTACTACTATTCAATGCCCAAGAAAACAATGAATTATTTGAAAAAGGGAAATAATTCTTATTCAATAATCAATTCCAAAAATTATGAGGCATTACCCTTTGATGCTCGATTTTGTGCTGCTTCAGAATTTGTAGGTTGCCTCGCTTAAGACGAATTTGTCGATGTAAATCTGATTTTTGTTCTGAAATGACTTATCACATCATTTATTTGTTCCTATAAATCTGTTTTAACCAGAACAAACACTGTTGTCTTATTAGTTTATCACAAACTGAAACCAATTTTAGAAAATCAATTGAACCACAATGGTTATTGGCTTTCCATATTATATATATGTTTGATATTAGTTCCATCAGGTTGACAGCTTACCTTTATATTTAGACCAGCTATGTTCACCATAATATTTCATATAATTTACTGTTTATATCTATGTGTGAGTGATGTTAAATTTTACATACACTATGCAAAACATAGTCATCAACAATGAGCAAAACCCATACCGTATAGTAAGCTATAAAAAGCACAGGCATGACAAAATGTGAAATACTTAAAACGGGAACATCAACGCCTTGATTTATGCTATATCAATTTTTGAAAAAACAAATATGAAAAAATCAATTAAGGACAACCACTGAATTACAGGCTCCTGACTTAGGATAGGCACATAACGAATGAGGCGGGTTAAATCCTTCTCCTAACCTTTGACATATGCCATTAAAACGCAAACAAATTCATCTGAAGATTTGTTTAAATTTCAGTTTTACATTCAGATGCTGATACATGTATATACATCCTAAAAGTATCCTCATATTAAGCATTTGACAGTCCAAGGAAAGTTAAGTTCGCAAACTTTACTCTCAACGGACTAATCAATGGACCGTCTGTTTTGGTTACTCGTCAACATTTTTAAAATTAATTTACATATTGTTTTTACAAAAATCCACGATTAAGTAACTAGTCTCCACTGATTTCACAATACCACTTTATCTTGTTTAATAATTGTAATTAAAAATGCTTGTTAGAGGTGAGTTTAATGTAGATGAGAATTCGGGAGTGTCGGCTAAACATTTGATAGTCATTGTGCAAACAGTTACATATATAAAATTGTACTATATGAAAGTAGTGTTGGTATGGTACATCGGAAATATACATTAAGTTCTCTCTGGTTTGTTGGTATGGTACATCGGAAATATACCTTAAGTTCTCTCTGGTTTGTTGGTATGGTACATCGGAAATATACCTTAAGTTCTCTCTGGTTTGTTGGTATGGTACATCGGAAATATACCTTAAGTTTCTCTCTGGTTTGTTGGTATGGTACATCGGAAATATACCTTAAGTTCTCTCTGGTTTGTTGGTATGGTACATCGGAAATATACCTTAAGTTCTCTCTGGTTTGACAAGGAATATTTTGTAATCTTGATTATTTTGCCATGTAGGTGTTTTTGTTTAATTTTCCTGACTGATTTTTTTTTTCTTTTTTTTTTCTAGGTATATCATGCTCATCTTTGCTCCAGTGATATTGGTATTCATCTCAACAAGTGTAATCGAATCTCGTCGATGTGCATTTGACACAAGATGTTATTGCAGTTCTCTTCCTGGATCATCACTGTATAAAGTCGATTGTTCAAACCGTACAATCAGATATATTCCTGTCTTTCCAAAAAACGTAACGAGTATAGATTTAAGTTTCAATATGATTAACAGAATTCCTGACTTTCACTTTGCTGTAAATGCGATTCTACGTAACATTTCATTCTCTCATAACCTTTTGAACCGCTTAGACAGTCATACTTTTTCTGGTCCTTCCGAACTTATCAGTATAAAAGTAGACAATAACAACATTTCCATGGTATCAGCCGAAACATTCCGATTTCTGCCAAAACTTCGACACCTCGACCTGAAAAATAACAAATTTAAATTTAAGAATTTAAATTTGACTTATTTGTCCAATCTTACATCACTCAGAATTGACTTCCTTAATGCATTTCAACTCCCAGCTGAACTCGCCAGTTTAAAATCCCTAGACATTTCTGGGGAATCGGGGAGGTGTGAAATCAAACTGTTGACTCCAGATACATTTAAATATTTATCCGGACTAAATGCCCTTAAATTATCTGCATGTAAAATCAACAATATTTACAAAGGAACTTTTAGCAATATGAAAAACCTATTTGCTTTAGATCTATCGTTTAACACATGTCTCAAGTTCAGTGGATTTGTCAATGTGACGTACGATTTGCCACATACATCTATTAAAATTCTTAAGATAAATAAGATTCATAAAACTTTTGAAATGAACACAAAACTTATGAAATCTCACGTTCGTTATTTACGGTATACAAATATAACAGAATTGCATGTGGATAGTAACAGGATTCAACAAGTAGAAAAAGGCGTGATATCAATGCTTCCTCATACAATCCGAAATTTGTATATGTCCGACAATGTATTTTCTTATGGGAGTTACTTAACTGAGATTTTCATAATGCCTGTTCATTTTGCTAACATTTCTTTTCTATTTAACACCCACAATCCTGAAAAAGAAGAGATTTGTAAGCATCATGATGAGGAACCATCAGTCAATCAGCGTCAACAACATGACGAAGGATTTAATATGTTCGAAATTCGACCATTCCATCGTCTGGGAAAAGGACAAACAAATTTTACGTTTAGTAAGTTGAACAGTGACAGTAAACTCGAAACTTTCCAATCACGTGATCATCCGAAATTTTTCCCGGTTCCTAGGCTTTTAAAAACACTGATTTACCGCCAATGTCAACTTCGATATGAAATACCAAGTTTACGATTTTCAGACAACACTTTAGAATATTTAGACGGTAGTTCTAATATTTTTTATTCCTGGAAAGGACCTTTGTTAAATTTGAATCATGTGCGATTTCTTAATTTATCAAACAACTTGTGTTCATACGTATCTAAAGTATTTTTCTATAGTACACCAAATCTACAAATAATGCATGTAGACAATAATTTACTTGGTTTCGTCCTGCCTGATGACGTTAATGGAGAAATATTACAAAATCTCCATAAGCTAGAGGAGATCAATTTGGCATACAATAGAATACCTAGCTTACCCTACAAGTTTTTCAAATCACAAGCCTTGCTGAAAAAAATATCACTTTCTGGAAACATGTTAGATGAAATTTCATTCAAAATTAGCCATATGATACATTTACGGCATCTTGATTTATCGTACAACAGACTATCGTCTATATCAAAAGACGTTCGGGATCATCTAGACAAGACAGTGCGTCCCAATATGAAGTTAGAATTAGACCTAACGGGCAATCCTTTCAAATGCACGTGTGAAACCATAGGATTTGTAAAATGGATGTTTCAGACAGCCATCAAGTTACATAATCAAAGAAAATATCAATGTAAACTGTCAAATGGAGAAAAGATTTTCATTCAAAACCCTTCTCGATTGTATGAAAAACTAAAAAAAGAATGTTCAACTTTCACTTCCTTAATTATTGGAACAACAGTCGTGATGTTGTTGCTTCTTGCAATAATTTCATGGGCAATAATTTATAGATATCGCTGGAAATTAAGATATATGTATTACATGGTGAAAAACAGGTATCATGGTCAACAACCAATCACATCTACGGAAAACGAAAGAATATATACGTACGATGCCTTCATATCATATGCTGACAATGATAGATTCTTTGTCCATGAAAAGTTTCTAAACAAGCTTGAGGATGAATCTGGATTAAAACTCTGTCTGCATAAAAGAGATTTCCTACCAGGAAACGATATAGCTGCGAATATTACGAACGCTATACACGAGAGTCGCAAAGTTGTTGTCATTATGTCACAACACTTTCTAAAGTCTTATTGGTGTATGTTTGAATATAACATGGCCAGAATAGAAAGCATTTACTCCAGAAATAAAGAAAACATTTTATTTCTTGTTTTCCTCGAGGAGTTGTCGTCTAAAGATTTACCGCTTATTGTGTTAGAGCTAGTGCAGTCACAGTCATATATAGAGTATCCACATGATGAATACGGTAACGAGGTTTTCTGGACCAAATTAACAGAAGTTTTGTCGTGACGTCAGTATGAATGTGTATGAAAAGTAGTTATAATTTATCAAAATAGGACTATTTGAATGTGAACATTATAAATATTGAACTTGCGTTTCCACCTTATGTCGTAAAAAGAATAAGATAGAAGGTCATAGAAAAAGGCTGTAATTACACACAGGATCAGCAATTATTTTAATGTTTGTAAACGATGAATAAAATGAGACTGGTGAATTCATATACCGCCTCAAAGTTCACTGTATTTTCAATTGTTTTTTTCAGATAGTAAAATACAATTTAGTTGCTGGCATTTATTGCAGAAAAATTTGTTTCTTTACTCTACAAAAAAACATTTGACCCAATTATGTACAAAAGGCGACTAAGGCACACCCATAGATATATTATTACCTGTGCTTCTGTAATCTGGCATTAAGACTCGTGCTTAGGGGTGTCTGTTTGACTGTCAGGGCTGTATATATATATATATATATGTGAGTGTTTGACTGTCATCAGGTCTGTATATATATATATATATATATATATATATATAAGTGCCTATAAATAGCAGCACATGACATACAAATCTATGGGAGTGTGGATTAATCAGTACAGAGATTAATTCAATTACACAAATAAAATTATAGATTGCCTAACAATGTAATTTTAACACACTATTTAGTATGTAAATATAAGAATGTTTAAAATATTTACAAAATGATGAAAATAAACGCAATATTTCGCTAGACTAACTAGCTTTATCAAGCGTGCATCTATCCAGGTGAAATCGGATGTAGATGATAAGAAACTTTTGCAGCTCAATGTATATGTTGCACTTGAATTTAGCTGCCTTGAAAATAATACATAATTTGGATGAAGTTCAAGATTTTTACAAAATTGGTAGTTGAAGTTAGCAACGTCCATTGGCCAATATTACAGGATAAAAAGGACGATGCTGTGTACTAAATTGTTCTTTATCTTTCCTGTATCTTTTCTCATCTTTTTCGTTAAGACCATCAGGTTCTAAAGTGTGGAGTTGGTGGATCCAAAAATTTTCTCTTCTCCTTCTCGCCGTGGTGTCCCACTCGGTGTTGACTTCTATGATTTGGAAGGTAACATTATCAAAAGAATGTTTCGTTGAACGAAGATGTCTTGTGAGAGGACAGTTTTTGTTGGTTTTGTACCATGAACGATGGTTATTGAGCCGAATATTAAATTTGTCCATTGTTTCTCCCACATACTGAATGCCACATGTGTCACATGTTAATATATAAATTGAGTTCTCCGTTTTACAGTTGGAATTTGAGTAGATGGTATAATTTTGTTTAGTAACGGAGCTGATGAAAGAACTGCTTGTATTGGCAGCTTTACAACACAAGCAGTTCCTTCGACCACATTGTTTGTAGCAACCGGGAGATGGAGTAGGCTGCTTTGCTAATACAGATGTCACTAATTTGTCACAGATGTTTTTAGGTCTTCTGAAGGCCATGACTGGTGGTGAGGAAAATACTTTTTTAAGATTTGAATCATTTTCTATAATTTTCCAATGCTTCTGAACAATGGAAGACACATTTTTAAAATCAGGATGGTAAGTGAGTACAAGGGGTGTTCTGTTAGCTGCTTTATTCTTATCTTTGTACTCTAGAAGTTCGGCTCAATAACCATCGTTCATGGTACAAAACCAACAAAAACTGTCCTCTCACAAGACATCTTCGTTCAACGAAACATTCTTTTGATAATGTTACCTTCCAAATCATAGAAGTCAACACCGAGTGGGACACCACGGCGAGAAGGAGAAGAGAAAATTTTTGGATCCACCAACTCCACACTTTAGAACCTGATGGTCTTAACGAAAAAGATGAGAAAAGATACAGGAAAGATAAAGAATAATTTAGTACACAGCATCGTCCTTTTTATCCTGTAATATTGGCCAATGGACGTTGCTAACTTCAACTACCAATTTTGTAAAAATCTTGAACTTCATCCAAATTATGTATTATTTTCAAGGCAGCTAAATTCAAGTGCAACATATACATTGAGCTGCAAAAGTTTCTTATCATCTACATCCGATTTCACCTGGATAGATGCACGCTTGATAAAGCTAGTTAGTCTAGCGAAATATTGCGTTTATTTTCATCATTTTGTAAATATTTTAAACATTCTTATATTTACATACTAAATAGTGTGTTAAAATTACATTGTTAGGCAATCTATATATATATATATATATATATATACAACATCCGTTGTTCGACCTGCTAGTCAAATTCGTTTTGTTAAAATATACTTTTTCACTTTTTGGTCTTTTGGAAAATGTTGTTTGTGCTGTATTTAGACCCCTCTACCAAGAAATTTGTTTTGCATGCACACGTATGAAAATTGCGGTTTTTATCCAACGCAATCATAGGTATGAACGTTGTTTTCAATTTAGACTTGTTTATATTTTTTCGTTTGGGCTTGTATTATATTTGCCTTCGGGTTTATATGATCCGTTCATCCTATTTCGACTCTTCAAAATTCAAGAGTCAATCCCAAATTGAGGTAAATTATATGGCCTTCCAAATACCCATTCGATTCCTAACATCACTGAAGAGACATTAATTGTCGAAATCCGGATATGGTGTACAAATTTTTGCACCTCATGTTTGCGGTATACGATCTTTTCCGCAAGTTTTTTGTTTTCTATTTGGTATTAGATTAAAATTAAGATCCATGTTGTTACATCTGTGATCCGTTTATTTGGCAATCGCCATGGCAGTCAGCAGGGTTTAAGAACATCCGTTGTTCGACCTGCTAGTCAAATGCGTTTTGTTAAAATATACTTTTTCACTTTTTGGTCTTTTGGAAGATGTTGTTTGTGCTGTATTTAGACCCCTCTACCAAGAAATTTGTTTTGCATGCACACGTATAAAAATTGCGGTTTTTATCCAACGCAATCATAGGTTTGAACGTTGTTTTCAATTTAGACTTGTATATATATATATATATATATATATATATGTGTGTTTAACTGTCAGGGCTGTATATATATATATAAATATATGTTTGACTATCAGGGAGTACAATACTCCCTGCATTTAAAAAAAGTTTTATAACACATTTCTAGTTAGATAGGCATGATATATCTAGTCTCACTAATTTTAATATATACCACCTTTGATAAGACTTAGTGTTTAGTATGACGATACATTTTCAATTTTGTTCTCGTAGTAAGAACAACAAAATTATTTATTTTGTAAAAATTATTTCCGTATTCCATGTATACCTTACAACAAAATTATTTTTATTTACCTGTGTACGTTATTTTATTTGGCGGCATTTTGTCCAAGGTTATGGGTTGTTTTTCTGATATTGTTTTACATCTAACCCCCTTGTTTTATTAATTTTGTATTTACATTGTGTCATAGATCAAATTTATTCGTTCAGTGTATGTTCACTTGTTTTTGTTAATATGTCTTTTGATTGAGTTAAGCTATTTCAATTGATATTTTATAGTGTGTCTTTCTATGTTGTGATGTCACACTATTGTTTCAGGTAGGGTGAAGGTTGGCGCCTATTAAAACGTTTAAACCCGTTCGATGTTCAGTGGTTGTTATTTGTTGATGTGGTTCATAAGTGTTTCTCGTTTCTCGTTTTTTATATAGATTATACCGTTTGTTTTCCTGTTTGAACGGTTTTACACTCGCAATTTTTGGGGCCCTTTATAGCTTGCTGTTCGGTGTGAGCCAAGGCTCCGTGTTGAAGGCCGTACTTTGACTTATAATGGTTTACTTTTACAAATTGTGACTTGGATGGAGAGTTGTCTCATTGGCACTCATACCATATCTTCTTATATCTATATGATACTGTTCGCATGTCCTTCATCCAAGTTGACTTACTCTGCCGAACTTACCTATGGCATTTTGCATATTATTGCGTCAATGCATGAAATCATATACAAACGCAATTATAAGCAGCTGTTTGAACTATAGAACCTGTATATCTATAAACTCAATAGGTATTACTGTTTCTAAAAATCTATTAAATTTGATCTTTTATTAATAGTTCGCATAACCGCCAGAATTATTAACAAAACGTCAAAATTGTGCATGTCAGACGTTACAAACGATAATCATAATAACTTTGAAAAGCAAATTTGCACTCTTCTGGAGATTGTGAAATTCACGAAAATATGCTTAATTTTATATAATTTATGGTGTTATTATCGAATTCGCGGTGATTCTAGGGCCAAAATTGATTTCATGAGTTTTCACCATGGTCAGATTTCAGAAAATGATAAGTTATCAATAGCTAGGGGTATTTTGAATAAAAGACGATATCATGTTTCGTTTGATAAATAGTGCTAACAAAAGCACATACAAGGATGATTTATAATTCGGCTTTTTACAACTTTCGCGTCACAAATAAAAACGCAACGGCTTCATGTAAATGTCTTGCAAGAATGTCCGTTATATCGAATTTCGGCGCTTTTTACAAGTTGACTGTCAGTTGCGACGTCACATTGATTACAAGTACACAATATATTGCTTTTCCGTAATTATACTAGTACCCGAAAAAACAGTTGCATACTATTGATAGTTTGCAAACTGATTGGGACATCGCTTTAATGATCTGAACAAGTCAAGTCCAATGTCTTGCAAGTTTGTCTACTCAAAGATTTTCGTACGTTTTGAATGTTATCAGTTCGGGACGCTATAGATGTCTTTTTGAAAACCAATTGAAAGGTTTTCTCATTCCATATTTGAACATGTTATCACATTTAAAAGCAATTTTAATAATTCCGCGATTGTGCCTTTGTATTTCTTAAAAACTTTTAAAATTAAAAGTATGGTTAGGACTCATTTTAAGATTAGAGGACAAAATAGAGTAAAACAATTTTGAATTTTGCGAATTATTCATGTCCCGAAATATTTCTCTTTTATTTTTATATGCAAATAATAGAAATGAAGATAACAGCAGCAAATATTTAATGAATAATTTGTTAAATGATCTTATCTATATGGAGGTAAAACAAAATTTTTCATTAAATAAGTACCATTTTTAAAAACTGTAAACACCTGGAACAGAATCTCAAAATTTAACTAATTATATTAGCACACTAATACTCCAAATCCTCAGGTCCGAGAGCTATGATAACTCATGCAATGCACTGATCAAAAAATAAGGAAATGTGGTATGATTGCCAATGAGACAACTAACCATCCAAGTTCAAATGAAATGGATGTAAGCAATTATAGGCAACCGTACGGCCTTCAACAATGAGAA